TACAGTCCCACATTGAGGGATATGACATCTCCATTGGAATCAGGAATGGTGCAGGTGTATACTCCTTGGGCTGAGGCTGGAAGAGGTCTGTGGTGGTCGTCCTTGTGATGTTCCATCAACTGATCGAAGACGGAGAACTCCAGGTCGACCGAATGGGTTAGTTAAACTCAGAGTACTAGTAGTGCTATCAGGAGTTAGTATGGTTCCATCAGGTGTAGTGATGCTTCCCACTCCAGCCATATTGGAGTTAGAGACACACTCCAGTATCAGTGTGTGATTTTCACTGACTATCAGTCCATTGTTGGCTATGGGACCTGATGATTCACTGCTGCCAGACCTTAGTGCATATATCCCTGCACCTGAAAAATGTGATTATTCAATCAGATTAGATGACAAACACAAAGTATAAGGCTCACCAACAACATTGACAGGGAAGGTATGACTGTTTCCACTGTTGGATCTTCCAATCTCATCGACTGTACATGTGTAGTCACCAGCATAGTAGGAGTATAGTTCTGGTCCCCCCACCACCAGTGTGGAGGTAGTGGATGAGGTATTAATGTTACAGCTACCACAGCCAGATGGAGTAGTGGGGTTCCCAGTGAGAGACCACATGTAGATCAGAGCTCCACTGTGTCCCTCAACTGAACAGTTGAGAGTTAGATTACTGCCTGCAGTGAACTGATTAGGACCCAATTCCCCTGGGACCTCCCCTGGAGCTGGTTCATAGAGTGCACTCACAGTCACATTCAGTTCTGCATGAGAAGATACAACACATGAAGGAATGATTTAGACCTAATAGAGCCACTTACTGACAGTGATAGTTGTTGTATTATATGCTAGAGGACTGTCCAGTATATACAGACTATTAGTGGAATCAGTCACTCTGACTGAGCAGTTGTAGTCTCCACTATCTGCTGTCTCTACGCTGGATAAATCCAACTGTGGACTAGTTTCATTCTCAGCATTGACTCTGTTGTTTCTACCACCAGGGGTGCTCCAATTGGAGAGGACAGTGGTGTAGGTGTCCACAGAGAGAGGCTGGATAAAACAGGAGAGCGAGAGACTAGACCCAGACACTAGCTCCTGCTCTTCTCCTGGTACAGATACTATCACCACTGGCCTGGGGACTAAAAGTAGAGCTGTATATCTGAAAATTTCTCTCTTATAGCTACTGTACCTGTAACCATCAAGATGTGTGTATCAGATGCAGTCACAACTGGACTAGTAGCAGTGGCAGTAGCTGTCACTGTGGCAGTGATGGGACCACCATCATAGGAGGTAACAGGAGAGAATGAGAGAGATGACATGTAGCTGGTGGAGCCACTTGCACTGACTACCGATGTATGAGAGTCATTGGCTATGACATCATTGCCTCTGGTCCAGGTAACGTCCACTGAATTCACATCACTGAGAGAGATGTGAGCGGTCAGAGTGAGCTGAGTCCCAATGTACACTGTGTCATTGTGACTTCTCCTGATGACTATTGTCTGGGAGTCGACCAGACTCCAGTAGAGAACACAGAGAACCAACAGTAGCAGTCTCATCCTATATAACACACGCAACATAGAGAGTCAGTATTCACAATATTATTGTAGCTAATATCGAGGTTCACATCAAAGCAAGTCTAAAAAAATCACGCACAAGACAAACAAGCTGCCCAAAAACACACAACAGCATATGGTCGTACATGAGCTTAGATCAACATTTCAAGTAGCAATGACATCCTTTTAGTGGAAAACACTGAGAAAGAGCTTTAGTCAGAGCTACTGCTCTTCAACCGACATGATGTTTTTGCACTTTTTTTAGCTGCAATAGTGCAGTTCTGCATTGTAGCTGAGCCCCACACAGACAAGACACACTTGCAGTTTAGAGCCTAGGGAGAACTTGCAGTTGTTTGACTTCAACCATCAGAGACAGAAACATCACTAGTGAAGATAGTAAAGCCGGCCAAAATAGAGAAAGAGTCACTTGTCCGCTCTAGTTCGGAGACTTGTTCGGATACCTTTACGTCCCGCCTATGTTCGTTCCGAGCGGACGGAATCCTGCCCGCGCATGCGTCGACGCGATCTGAACGCATGCGCACTGGTCTACAATCGCGCCAAATCAGTCGTACGGCGGCACAATAATCAAACAAGTCACTGGGTCCAGAAGGCATGACATCATATATAGCCAGTGTCTTCCTCAGTTCCAGAGGTCTGTGGGAGAGGGATGGAGGGGAGGGGCTGGCTGGGAGGAGCAGGGTAGGAGTAAACATGATCTGCCAGTTCTTCTCTCTCTCTTGCCCTCACCTCCCCATATGCCTCATTGGTTGAGGTTTGAATACCAGATCCTGACAACTGACTCCTGTAGAGAATTCGTAAAATTTTACACTCACATTTGGTAAGGAACATACTTTTTGCCAGTTGAAAACTTCCCACAGCAGTTCTTGACCACTATAATAGCTATTATAACAGTAGCAGTTGCAACAACAGTAATAAGGATAATTGTCACAACTCCTCTAATTATAGCTGCAGTAGAAGATGAGCCATCTTCATCATCATTCATCATCATCATCATCATCATCGTTATCATCAATAGCCAAACTTAACTCTGTAGTAGTTGCAAGGATGCACAGAATGATATTATGAGTGTATGACATTACGTACCTGTAACAGTGATATGTGCAGAAGCACTGGAAGGCTTGTTGTTAGAAACTGAGCATACATACACTCCTAAAGCATGCCCAGTCAGAGTGTGTGTGTACTGTGCAGTCACTGGGTCGTTCAACACAGTCTGGGTTCCTTGGGTGACAGTGGTGGAGTCTCTGGTCCAAGTGACAGTGGTAGCAGGTCCACCAGTGGAGATACAGGTGAGGGTGAACTGAGGACTGCTGGCTCCATTGAAGTGTGATTCCACAGCAGTCACTCTCACACCTCCACGTATCGAAATATCACCTACACAACAAATATCTTGTAGATTGGGGATTTGGCTATCGCAAAACTCATGCATCTACTTCAGTTGGAGTTGGGCATCTTAGAGTCTTTTCGTTTATTAGCTACACTTGATCTACTCGCTCATTCACTAACCTCCACCATTAGCATACAGTCCCATGTAGACCCTCTTCCTCATAGCTGAGCCGATAGGGATAGGCAGCACGCCAGTTGGAATATCACAGTGGTACAGACCAGATGGTGGGGTACCACTATTATCACGTCTACGCAGCTCAACCCTCTTAGGTCCTAGAACCTCATAGACACCACTAGTAAAATATTGGGGGACACTGTTTCCATCTGGGAACCTCCAGTCTCCGCGATCAATAATACCACAGCATGTGATGGCGTCAGTGATACACTGAACACTATCGTTCTCACTGTCCCCCACTAGACTGAGGTCCACATAGGAATGGTTGGCCAGAGTCTGGCCCATGAAGGAGGCATAGGGAAAGCTCTGAGAGTGGACCTCCACCAGAGACCAGAGGAGACTCAGAGAAATGACTGTCAACAACATCGCATCACTTAGCTAGTCTCAAACTGATTTTGCACTTTACTCTGCGGCCTTTATGTACACACTGAGAGCATTATAAAGTTTCTTTTTGCAGCAACAGTAACACATTACAGTGTGTCATGGTACTACAATACTTCCAGACCAGCAGTGTGACCATCATCATCAATTGGCACGTGACTACAGAGGGTGCTATAATAGATGAAATTCTGACCATGTTAAAGAAGGTGTATCAACCATGGGTATAGAGACATACTCAGGGATGGCAAATCTTACGTTATGATCTGCAAGCCGCCAAACTGGCAATGAGCATGGGTCAATATCAAGCTATAATAGCACGAAAATCTCCATGCAATATTATATCTAAAACGAAATTCATATTGTGTTCTTCTTACTTTCTTCGTTATTTCTTCAGGAATTTCCTGAATTTCTGAACCAGTATAATAATCATTGATGCCCTCACACATCCCATCACTGCATAGGGATTTTTAACACACACCTGAAATGCTCGTGATTTTATATAGTGTATTTGTTCGGGTTTCCTATTAGTCCTCCATACATTCTCTAAATTCGCGTATGATGTGCTCAATAGCCAGCAGCCTCGAGGATAATCGCAGATGATCTGGCTAGCGTGTCATGGCTAGTCACAGGCACTGGGAGTCATGCTATTCATTGGTTCTCCCATGCAGATGATGTGCGCTTCTATCAGAAGATGGATAAGTGGAGGAAGTTCAGTTTGACAAAGCGGTGATTATAATGATCAAGTGCAAAACAGCAAAATGACAAGCATACATCTGTGAATGTATCTAAACAACCTCAGAGGTAGTTATTTACTAAATCTACTATCTAAAGACTACCTCTAACAAGTAAATGTAAGACCAAATTCAGCACGCATACTTTACGACGCCACTTTCCAATAGTGATCAGGACGAGTCACTGGTCTCCAGGAATGGCATCATAAAGAGTGTCTTCCTCTGTTTCAGGGATAGGAGGGGGAGGGATGGGAGGGAGGGGCTGGCTGGGGGCCGAGGCAGAGGATGAGGGAACCTCATACATCTCCTCCAGTTCAGCTGGAGGAGGTGGAGGTTCTCCGTGAGAGAAGTCCACCAGTTCATATCCTGTTCTCGTTCCACCTTCCCATATGCCGTGTTGGTTGAGTGTGTGAATAACACCACTTTCAGTGACTGCTGACCTGCATTCAATTTGAACACATCAAGTGACTTTTTCATGCTTCACACCACCAATAGTATTCTTGCTTGACATTCGCAACTTACGTTTTGTTTGAACTCCTCAGTGAAGCCCCTCCACGACGATCCTTTAGGACTAGAAAAGTTATGACAGCAACAGTAACAGCAATGATCAGGATTATAACAATCGCCACAACTCCACCAACTATAGCATCGGAAACCTGTGCAGGTTCTTCATCACTGCTTCTATCAACAGGAGGCATGTCAGTGGAAGGAGATGAAGTGGCAGTAGGAGTGGAAGAAGGAGAGCATGTGGTGGCTGACTGAGAGAAGAGATGGCCACTGAGCAGTGGGAGTCCACGGTCATCTGTACTCCAGTCACAACGAGGCTGGTTCCCCTCCTCTCACCCAGGCCTCTATCAGAGAGACGAGGGAGCCACTGTCTGTCTCAGAGGTCTCCTCCAGTCTGGCTCGATACGTCAGAAATGACGGAGACTCTGGATAGCAGACAAAGAACTGGCTGTCTATCATTTCTGGCCCACACTCTGAGCAAGATGACTTTAACTCCTTCACTACAGCAGCAGTAATGTGCTCCAGTTTCAGGATCTCTCTGTACTCTGTAACAAAGTAAGAAGAGTCTTGTACAAAGATAAGCTAAAACGTACGAAGAAACGTACAATCTCTTCAGAACAGGTAGTAGGAATTTACCCAAACGGAGTTGAAAGAAGGAATCTGTGGTGAAAGCATACTACTATAATCCTGAACTAATATGAACTGAATTTACAGTCTTGTTGAGTGGTGAATGAGGTGTTGGCAGGAGGTCCAGAGCCCTGATGTTACTGGCCACCAGAGAACAGGAGTAGTGAGTGTTGGGAGAGAAGCCGGCCACTGTGTGAGGTCCAGACTGAGAGGTGGGGGAGTGAGGGAGGGAGGAGGGGGAGGGGGAGCAGGAGAGGGTGTAACTGGTGATGACTCCATTACGCTGGGTGACAGGAGGAGGAGACCAGGAGAACACAACTTCTCTCTCTCCTGGGACTACCTCTATCTTCGGAGATCCCGATGGAGCTGAGAAAGAACGAGGAAATAAGAAACTAAAATATTATAGGTTCTTGACACTGGTAGTGCATCAACTAATTCTGTTAAGGAACTGGTGGGTTTAAGAATGGGTGATGTCATAATCAAAACTGAACCCACATACAACTCCGGGGCTCATGACTGAGTGTGGGGGAAAAGCAGTATTGCAAAGTGTTTGTGCACGAATTGTGTTAGACGTTCGATGTTAGAGACACAAGTTTGCCATAATAAGCTAGTTAGGTTCAAAACAGAGCAATATACCAGTCTCATTGGTGGATAGGGTGAGAGAGAGGGGAGAGAGGATCCACGTTGGGAGATGGTGGAGATGCTGCAGTTGTAGCGGACTCCAGAGAAGAACCCAGACAGGGTGGCTGAGGACCGGGTTGGTGCCAACAGGGGAGAGACTGGGGGGATGGGATCCCAGTCAGGAGAGGGACACATGTCAGGTTGTAGCCAGTGGTGAGGTGGGCTCCAATACTGGGCTGGCGCCAGGAGAATGTGAGAGAGGTGTCCGATGTATATCTTACTTCAAAGGCCTCAACTGGGTATGCAACTGCATCTGTTAAAAATATTTTATCATCCAACTGCCTTGTGCACAATAATGGAATTAAGTAGACACTCTATGGGGATGGGCAAAGTCAAATCTCATGTGATAGGCGCATACAAAAAGCCTCAAAACTCAGTGAGAATGACTCGCTAGACCTTCAAAACACACTAGCAACAGTCTGCGGGTCTCATGTGTCAGACTTTCTTTCAGTTCTCCATGCAAGACTTGGCTAACGCACAATTTCCATGTCATCATCACAATCTTCATCTTCAGTAAACCCGCCATCTCCTTACCGGAACCAGTTGAAGTAGTTCAACTGGTTCCGGTAAGAAGGCAGAAAATGTTATTTTGTGAAATCGAGCCACATCTGTAGCAGTGACAAAGTTTGCTTACATCTTACGCTGACAGGGATAGGGGATGTGGAAATTGAAATGATTCCATTTTCTGCTGCTGGAGATCTTAGCCTGCCCTGACAGTGGTAGAGTCCAGCATGAGATGTGTAGAGAGAGGAGAAAGAGAGAGTGGAGATGGTAGTTGTACCATTCACCACAGTCTCAGTCACAGTGACACCATTTCCTGAGACCACAGGACCAGAGACGTTCATCCACACAGCAGAAGGAGTGTTAGTCAGTCCACGCAGTGGTCTCATGGACTGTACATGTCAGAGTGGGACCAGGCTCTCCAGCTAGTGGTGAACCAACATCAGTCACACTTGCCGTGACTGTGATAGGGTTTTCAGGCACTGGATGAGTGGAGAAATGTTAACACACACATCATTTGTCCGACATTTACGTACATTTCACTACCAATGAAACAGTTTCTCTGTAGGTATCATCACCAGCCACAGCAGTGCAGGTATACTGCTGTCCATGTAGGTCGTCTGTTACTAGAGGAAATGTATACTCCAACAGTGTGAGATTGTCACTACTGCTACTGGCCAGCACAGTCGACTGGTTCCTCCATTCAATAGAAGATACTCTCACGTTGGTTCTACAGCTGATGGTTCCTGACTGCCCCACAGTGAGACTATCCTCACCTGATACAGTGATGCCTGTGTGATGGTAACGAAAATGAAACAAGAAAATGAAGCGATAACTCACCGAGAGCCACTACCACACTAGAGTTAGAGCCCAGATCATTGGAGACTGTGCAGTTGTAGGTACCAGCAGCCCCTTCAGGACTGACTGTCAGGACATTGGAGTAGGTGGAGGCACTGCGGTCAATGACAGTCTGAGAAATTGTGTAATCCGACGTAAGAGGTGCTCCGTCCTTTGTCCAGGAGACATTGGTGGCAGGGGAGCCAGTGGACACACATGTGAGGGTATGACTATCATTGCCCTCGTGGTAGGTGAGATTAGTGATGGTGGGAGTCACTGTATGTGGAGGAAAAGAGAGAAAGTTTGATAGCAAAACTCCAATGGCTCACCATTGAAGCCAGGTGGATACAGTCCCACATTGAGGGATATGTCATTTCCATTGGAATCAGGAATGGTGCAGGTGTATACTCCTTGGGCTGAGGCTGGAAGAGGTCTGTGTGGTCGTCTTGTGATGTTCCATCAACTGATCGAAGACGGAGAACTCCAGGTCGACGGAATGGGTTAGTTAAAGTCAGAGTACTAGTAGTTGCTATCAGGAGTTAGTATCATTCCATCAGGTGTAGTGATGCTCCCCACTCCAGCCATACTGGAGTTAGAGACACACTCCAGTCTCAGGTCGTCACTTTCACTGACTATCAGTCCATTGTTGGCTATGGGACCTGATGATACACTGCTGTCAGACCTTAGTGCATATATCCCTGCACCTGAAGTATGTGATTATTCAATCAGATTAGATGACAAACACGAAGTATTAGGCTCACCAACAACATTGACAGGGAAGGTATGACTGTTTCCACTGTTGGATCTTCCAGACTCACTCACAGTACATGTGTAGTCACCAGCATAGTAGGAGTATAGTTCTGGTCCCCCACCACCAGTGTGGAGGTAGTGGATGAGATATCAATGTTACAGCTACTACCACAGCCAGATGGAGTACTGGGGTTCCCAGTGAGAGACCACATGTAGCTCAGAGCTCCACTGTGTCCCTCAACTGAACAGTTGAGAGTTAGATTACTGCCTGCAGTGAATTCATTAGGACCCAATTCCCCAGGGACCTCCCCTGGAGCTGGTTCATAGAGTGCACTCACAGTCACATTCAGTTCTGTATGAGGAGATACAACACATGAAGGAATGATTTAGACCTAACAGAGCCACTTACTGACAGTGATCGTTGTTGTATTATATGCTAGAGGACTGTCCAGTATATATGGACTATTAGTGGAGTCAGTCACTCTGACTGAACAGGTGTAGTCTCCACTATCTGCTGTCTCTACTCTGGATATGACCAACTGTGGACTAGTTTCATTCTCATCATTGACTCTGTTGTTTCTACCACCAGGAGTGCTCCAATTGGAGAGGACAGTGGTGGAGGTGTCCACAGAGGGAGGCTGGATGGAGCAGCTGAGGGAGAGACCAGAGCCAGACACCAATTCTGGTTGGTGCAGTCACTGTCACCATTGGTCTGGGGACTGAGGTAGAGAGGAGTATGTAGATATCAGTAGCTCAATGAGAAAGGTGGCTTACTTTGAACTAACACATCTGTACTGTTATTGTGGTTCCTGGTAACATTAATGGATGGAATGTTAATTGCAGCCCGGCAGGTGTACTTGGCTCCCATGTGAGGTTCTCAGAGACTGAATGTCAGAGTTCTTGTGACAGTGGTTCCATTGACAGTAGTCTCAATCTGCGTGGCTCCACCATTACCTCCAGTCCACTCGACTATAAGGTCAGCACCAGGTGTGAGATGGTCTACTGTTGTTCGCAGTACAGGTCAACTGGAGGGAGTCCCCCACCATTTGAATAGTGGGATCAGAGGCATCCAACTCCACCACTGGAGCTGGGAGGTCTGAAGAGAACAAAGTAGGTTTATTAAATCACTCACAAGGTCTCCATATACTCACCTGTTACTGACATTGGTACTACTGGTATTAGTGGCTGACTGGCTTTGGTCTAGTCCAGTGACGGTCCCAGTACAGGTGAATGGACCATTGTCTTGGACAGCTAGAGGACTGATGGTGAGAACACTACTATAGCGACCACTTGGGTGATTTGTGGTGCTAGATATTGAGAATCTAGTAGATGGTATACGTTCCTGACCACTCCAGTTGATGAACACCTTCTCATCATTGTTGACACTGGGGTCCAGAGTGGCAGTACACGTGATACTGAGACCAGTTCCAGCATACAGAGACCACTACGGTTGAGAGATACTGCCACACCAGGTGGAGGGACTGAGGGAAAAGAGAAGTTACTAGATATGCCACACAATGCACAGATGCATGGCTTACTCTGCACGATAATCTCTGACACCTGTGACATCTGTGGTCCCTGGACAACCTCGATATATGGTTCCATAGACATGAGGCTCAGACTACAAGTATAATTGCCAGTGTCAGAGGTATGGAAAGGGGAGAATACGAGAGATGTTCCCTCAGTTGAGATCCTGTCGTCTTCAGAGGCGGTCACTTCTTCTCCACCCACTGTCCAAGTGCGCTTGCTTCGACAGAAAATGTAGGGTCCGGGAGCATAGCTACATGTGAGGTTGCCACCACTTCCAGCAATAATAGTGGAGTTAGTGATGAATGGAGTTGGCGTTGGAACTGAGGAAATGGAGCCCAGCTAATATAAATTGGCATCAATACCTTGCTACTTGCTTACCTTGGACAGTGATGTTAGTATCAGCAGAGACAGATCCATCGAGGGTGGCAGTACACATGTAGACTCCAGCTTGAGATGTTGATATGCTACTGAGTGTGAGGTTACTCGACAAACTTCCATCATTTCTTGTAGATTCAGTTGCTCCAGGCCCCTCCCACCGGAGTACTGGAGTACCAGTTACTCCAGAGGGCAGTGAGATTGAGCAGGTGATAGTGACAGAGCCACCAGCCAGTATGGGGGAGGAAGGAGAAGAGGCGAGAGTGATGTTGGCCCGCTCTGTACGGAGAGAGATGTGTACACATCGTGAATAAATTACAGCAGTTGATATTACCTATAGTGACATCAGGACCTGTAGTCACATCACTTGGTATTGTACTGGAGTTAGCCACCATACTAATAGAATACGTTGCCCCTTCAGTTAGTCCACTGATTACAGTACTGCTATCAGCAGCTCCGGCCATCACTGATTTTCTCTCTTCTCCAACTATATTTCTCTTGTAGTAGATGGTGTATCCAGTGACACCAGGTCCTTCAGACTGTGTCCAGGTCACCAGTAGGCTGGTGAGTCCATTTTGAGACACACTGACATCAGTGGGTGGAGAAGGAGCTGGGGTGTGGGGAGAGGAAGAACCATCATTTTCAATCAGTCTTATAATTATAGGTTAGACTAACCTGTTACAGTGAGCTCTGCTGAACTCTGACTAGGATGGTTGTTAGCCACAGTTCATGTATAGGTTCCTTCCTGTCTTCCCTGTAACAATTCCTGCACCAATATCACACTAGAAAAACACTTACAAACTCTTTCTATTATTACCTCCTCCACTGTTGTAAAGACCAACATCGACCGTCTTAAACATGGATGTACTATCCTCTATTATACAGTGATATATTCCCTCTGTTGGCGTTCCACTCCCACTCCTTCTCAGTCTCACTACCATAGGACCTCTGCTTCTGTCCAATCCTTGTACATCATTATGATCTGCGATACCCACTCTGGTCCCATCTGGAGAATACCAGTCTCCTCCAGAATGAGGGCGATTGCCATAAATTGATGGAGGACGGTTAGTGATACAGAGTAGAGCAGTGTCATCAGAGGAGCCAATATCACTGATATCCACATAGCCATGGTCAGGGATAACAGTTCCATTCAGACGGAGGAAGACATCTGTGTGGGTGTTATATACAAGCAGCTAAAGGTAACCATGAGATCAATAATATACTCACCACCGGGAGTTTCAAAGGTGAAGGAATCACTGTAATTTCCACTACCAGAGCTGGTGGCCACTGCCACTTCCACAGTGTAGACAATCTCTTTAATCAGTCCAGACACTGTGGTCACTCCTCCACTGGAGTCTCCTGACACCATCTGAATATCCCTGGCATCCTCACTGCTCCCCTCCTCCCCATACCTCACCCTGTAGTCTGTTATCTCTCCATTCTGATGTCTGCATTCCACAGGTCCCCACTGGACTGTCATACTTGTGGAACTCTCAACCCTCATCACCACATCAGTAGGAGGGGCAGATGGAGCTGTGAGCATGGGAGAGAGCAGTAACGATCAGTTTAGAGGTGAGGAACAGAGGTGAGAGTGTTCCGCTCTTTACAGTGGGACTAACCAGCAGTCATTGTAGAGGCTGTGATAGAGCCTTCTGCACTCCCTCCTCCAGTCAGTGTGTCTGCAGCACTGCTCCCGGCTCCTTCACTCACAGTGGCAGAGACCGTGATAGAATACCCAGTTCCTTCCTCTAGATCATCCAAAGTGTATGATGTCCCACTAATACCAGGGATGGTGTTAGTGATAATGAAACAGTTGGTGTAGTTAGTGTTGGAGTAGGAGATGTTTTATGAGGTAGCATTCATTCCTTTAGCCAGGGTCCAAGCTACAGTCACAGATGTCGCATTCGAAGATGAAAGTGATATGGTCAAAAGTAGTTCTACAAAAATAGACTTGCACATGTTAATTTCATTCATCTGTAAACTCTTACATACCATCAGTCATTGCAGTAATGGGCTCAATGTAGATTCCAGTACCAGCACTGTTGACTGCTGCTACTCCAATAGAGTAGGTAGTGGATGACATCAGACCAGAGATAGTGGTTTCATTCACAGTAGCTCCATCAACAGTCAACATCTGTGTGCTCCCACTCCCCATCACTCCATACTGGACTGAGTAGCCTGTGATGGCTCCATTCTGATGGATACATGGCACCTCTCCCCACACTACGGTGATGGTGGAAGAGGAGGTTTCTTCCACATTGAGACTAACAGGAGCAGCAGAGGGAACTAGAGTGTAATGGAGAAATGATAAATTATGTTATATTCGGCAGTGAAGGGAACAAAACAAGATCAGCAGGGTGTAAGAGTAAAAGCAATCTGCCAAGTCCGCTTTCTCTTCCCCTGCCCCACCTCCCCATATACCTCATTGGTTGAGGTGTAAATATAGGGTCCTGATGACTAACTCCTTGTAGAAAATTCGTAAATTTACGCTCACATTTGGTAAGGACCATACTTATGCCAGGCTATCATGACTGAAAATTCCCACGGGCAATTTCTTGAGCAATGAAATGGCATATAACAGTGGTGGGCCGGGAATGGGGGTGGGGGAGGAGGGGGGGGCAGACGGGGGCGGCGGGGGGGGGACGGCGGGGGAAGGGGGGTGGGGGTGGGGAAGGGGGGGAAAGGAGGGGGGGCGGCGAGGTAAGGGGTGGGGAGGGAGGGGTTGGTTTGGGGGGGGAGGTTGTTGTAATTTTTGTATTGCTTTGATCTGTTAAGGGGGAGTTGTTGGTTTTTTTTATTCTTATTTTAATATTTTTAATATTCCCTGGGTTTTTTTTTTTTTTTTGGTATTATTATAATTGTGACAACTGTAATGAGGATAATTTCTCCACAACTCTCCAATTATTGCGGGCATCGTCATCATAACAGTAGTCGAACTGCACTCGTAGTAGTTGTGAGGATGACACCAGAATGATCTTCATATATGGTAGACATTAGTACCGTATGTGCAGAAGCACTGAAGGTTGTTGTTAGAAACTTAGCATACATACAATCCTAAAGATGCCCCGTTAGAGTGGGTGTGTACTGTGCAGTCACTGGGCTTCAACAGTGTCGGGGTTCCTTGGGTTGGACAGTGGTGAGTCTCTGGTCCAAGTGAACAGTGGTAGCAGGTCCACCAGTGGAGATAAAGGTGAGGGTGAACTGAGGACTGGCTCAACTGAGGTGTGAGTCCACAGGCAGCACTCTCACACCTCCAAAGTATTGAAATATCACCTACACGGGGATTTGGTTTTTTTTTATCGCAAAATACATGCGTCTATTCAGTTGGAGTTGGGCATTTATATGGTTGTAAGGAACGTCTGCCAGTTAGAAGAAAGAGACGTTAGGGAAAACCTGAGAGTGGGACTCCACCAGGGGACCAGAGGAGACTCAGCGCAACAACATGCACACTTAGATAGTCTCAAACTGATATGCCAATTTACTCGTGCATAGCGATTTTAACGCATACCTGAATGCTCATGATTTGTGTATTTGTTCGGATTCCTATTCCACTACATTCTTTATATTCGCGTATGATGTGCTCAATAGCCAGCAGCCTCGAGGATAATCGTAGATGATCTGGCTAGGGTGTCATGGCTAGTGGTAGGCACTGGGAGTGATTGGTTCTCCCATGCAGAAGAGTGTGTGCTTCTATCAGAAGGTGGATAGTGGAGGAAGTTCAGTTGACAAGCGGTGATTATAATGATCAAGTGCAAAACAGCAAATGACAAGCACACATCTGTGAATGTATCTAAACAACCTCAGAGGTAGTTATCTAAATCTATCTATAATTATACTACTATCTAAAGACTATCTTAACACGTAAATGTAAGGACCAAATTCAGCACGCATATATACTTTTCGACGCCACTTCCAATAGTGATCAGAAAGAGTCACTGGTCTCAGATGGCATCATAAAAGGGTCTTCCTCTTTCAGGATGGGAGGGGGAGGGATGGGAGAGAGGGGCTCGCTGGGGACCGAGGCAGAGAATGAGGGAACCTCATAATCCCCTCCAGTTCAGCTGGAGGAGAGGGAGGGATGGGAGAGAGGGTCTGGACTGGAGGCCGAGGCAGAGAATGAGGGAACCTCATACATCCCCTCCAGTTCAGCTGGAAGAGGGGGAGGGAGGGGCTGGCTGGGGCCGAGGCAGAGAATGAGGGAACCTCATAACACTCCTCCAGTTCAGCGGAGGAGGTGGAGTTCTCCGTGAGAGAGAAGTCACCAGTTCATATCCCTGCTCCGTTCCACCCTTCCCTATGCCGTGTGGTTGAGGTGTGAATAACCACCCACGTTCAGTTGACTGCGACCTGCATTCAAAATTTGAAAACGTAATGCTTCACACCACCGTAATATTTTAGCGCTAAAACCAGCATTTTTACAAAATAGCGCAGTGGGAAGAGCACATTCAGTTCATGTGAAGGGGGCTCGGCAAATTAGCTGATGAAGCAGGGTCAGAGCAATAGCAGTGATAAGCAACATAAAACTGGGTGAAGGAGTGAAGTAGTGGAGGGGGTTAATTAAGGAACCTCTGATCCAGAGGGACCGCTGGAAAATGACGGCCATTACAATGATGGCCACCAACAGGGGGAGCTACCACGATTCCACCAAGATGTCCTGCATTCCCACTACCTGCATAAACAAACACAGAGAGAGAGCTGAATTACAGTTAAAAAATAATATTCCGAAGTGACTTTTTTAGAGGATTATCACTGTGGACAGTGGTACATGAATACAACCTTCCGGATGCATCAAACATGCCTACTGTTGTACCTGCTGGTTCGGAAGTTTGCGTACGAGGAGCAGTCATTTCCTCTGAGGCCGTTCAGCTGCTGTTCCCGCCCCGCCTGTTCATGCAGTGGCAGATCAAGACAGACACTGCGTACACTGTACACTTTTGAGTGAAGGATGTGGTCGAGGCCGTCAAAACTGTCGATATTCCCTCCACTGGAGGACCCTCTCCCTCCCTCCCCCCTGCGCTTCCTCGTCCTCCGAGGGGGAGTAGGAGACAAGTAGTAGATATGCTGACTCTCCTCTCCTGGCCGCACCAGGACTCAGTCTCTGTCAATGACACATCATTCTGTTCCGTTGATCCGCTCCACCTTCCATTGTGGGGAGCACTCGGAAACTGGGCAGTGGTGGTGGGCGAGAGGGTAAAATGTATTCTAGAGCCACTAGTAACAAATGCATGCAACAAACATGTGTGTCATATTTTCAGTGGCTAGTGTTCACATACTATGGTGACAGTGCCATAAAATAAATAGGGTGGCTTTGCTGGCCATATTGCAGGGTCATGTAATCCCCGCTCCTTCCTCGGTGAAGAAAATGGATCTAGACTGCGGTCTCCCAGCCTCGGTGTGCGAGCCACCAGAGTGTAGACAGTACGGTGAGTCTCTTTCTCTGTGGATATATGGTACCAGATACAGTTACATACACTGTGGTAGAGTTCTGCCTTACGTAACCCAGAGCCTTCACAGTGTGACGTTGCAAGTGTTCCCGGCAACTCTTGAGGTAGCCTTCGACCTTCTCTGTTCCTTCCCGGCCCAGCCCAGCCTCTATATACTCTCTACCAACACAAATGTAGCGCAGTATTGAGATATTTCAGCATGAGTCGACCCGAGCTAATGGTGACTGCAGCATCCGCAGTGTGACATGAGGTTTGGTACTGATTTCTCCGGTACTGTGAAAGAATGATGACAATTTGTATGTGAGTAAACCAATATAAGCTCACTTTGGTCCACTGACGTTCACGTCCTCACTGTCTACAGTAGTTCGATATTTGGCTCAGCTATATATTGATACACAGCACTGCAGGTGAAGGTCCTGAGTCCAGAGGAAAGCTGCGGGATCTTTTGTCATGTTATGGCCAGGACTTTGCGGTGTTTTATTCGTCCACCATCACCCATCAGTGTCACTGTGTGGGGGTTCAGCAAACTATGGTGACCGAGCACAGCCAGGCAGGAGATATGTTACGCTGTTGGCCGCCGAAGTCCTGCCCAGACATGCTGGGTCCCCTGAGGCCCCTAAGTGGAGGAGCTGAGGCGTATCTGACAGTGGGCTTTGGAAGACCTGCCCAGAGAGAGAAGAGAGAGATGTGCCATGTCGTGTCTGACTGAGCACCTCTGGAGCCAGTACCTGAACAGTGACCTGGGTACATCAGTTGTCTCATTAGCCGAACCTTCAAGATATTCTTGTTTTACATCAGGCTTAGGCTGGACTCTTGCTCTGCAAGTATAACGTCCAGTTTGTCCTCTCCACGAGTGGCCGACTATTAGACTGGTGAATCTGTCTTACTTCTTTGTTTCTGTCTCGATATGTGGACATGGTGCCACTATTGTCCACGTGTTGGGGTAGCAGCACCCATTTCAACTGTGAATAGTGATGGGAGTATCCACAGCCACATCCACCTCCACAGTACATGTCATATTGAACTTCGTCCCATGTATGGGGGTATAGTCTTTCAAAACAGTGATTGTTGGAGCTGGAACTGTAGGTTTAGAAAAGGTGACATAATGTATGAGTGTTTGTACTTCCACACATGGCTTACTCTGGACTATGAGACGAGTAGTTCCATTGCCACTCTCAGATATACCCAGAGAAGGTATTGAGAAGTTGACTCTGCAGGTATACATCCCTCCATCTGACGTGTTTAGCAGAGGAAATGAGAGAGTCTTGTTACTGGAGACCAGGTCCCCAGATGGACTCAGCCACTCCACAGATGGCGGAGTCACCAGGTTGAGGGGTGCTGTGAAGTTACATTCAGTCGAGAAAGGTCTGCCAGCTTCAGACACAATCTTAGCTCCTGTAATATTTGGTGCACGAGGCTCTGGGGAACAGAAGATACTATGTAAGGTAGAGTAACAATAAGACTGACTTACCTTCTACAGAGACGTTCAATGAGGCAGTAGTGTCATTGCTGGCTAGTACTCCCTCAGTATCAGTGGGGAGTACAGCAGCAGTACAGTTATAGATGGCAGAATCTGAGATGTCCAATGGACTAATAATAGTCAATGTACTTTGTTTTTGCGGGGGCGTGGGCGTCGGGGAGGGGCATTAGGCGGCGGCCTCGGGGCGGGTTCCGGGGCGGAAGGCTGCGGACGGGGCGTCTCCGGTACGGTGGCCGGGGCCAGGTGGTGGCCATGTCCCGGGGTCCGGCCCCCCTCTCGCGTTCCGGGGTGGAGGGGGGGGAGAGAGAGGGGTCGGGGGTGACGGCTGGGGAGCGGCTCGGGGGCGCGGCGGGGGGCCGGGGGGGGGGGGGGTGGGTGGGGGGGGGGCTGTGGTTGGTGGTTTTGTGTTTGTTTTTTTTGAACTCCGTCTAGGATAACATGGTTTGAGAGAATTATGATGTGTCGGTCAATGATTACACTCTGGAAATCCCTGGTCCAGAGATAATCAGATCAAATCAGTGTCGCCTGTGAAGCGTCGACAGAGATGGAGAGTGATGTCAGCTGCGTTCCTGTAGAATGATCCATCATCCCAGCATTAGTCCCAATGGAAAACCGGGGGTGCTGGGACTGAGAGATAGGAGGGTTTAGGTGTGAGAAGGGGATGGGTATTATATATTATGTAGATAAGGACTCACTAGTGACAATAAGATCCTGACTCTTATTGGAACTTGACGTTAACCATCACCGAGTCTAGAGTATTTCTCCCAGTACGATGTATCTCCTCTGTCAGAGGTGTACAGTGGACTGAAGTTGAGGTTCCCGATGGTGCGAATATTGCTGACATCTTCGGCATTCTTCCTCTCTCCACTGGGTGTGGTCCAGATGATGGAGAGTACTCGACCTCACTCCTTCCTTGTCTCCCGTTAACACACAAGAGAATAGTCAACCTTCCTGCAGGGGCACCCCTTCAGGCACCAACCCCCCTACTGGAGGCTCAGGTCCTGTGCGAAGAGCACATGGAGGATGTATACAATCATCCAGTGATGGGGGTAGCTGACGACCTTTAATTCAATACTCTCTCCGACACCACTAGTTGTAGAGCCAGTTATGATCTGCCATCCTCACTTCAACAGAGCAACTGTAGTCCCGAGTCAGTTTTAATCCGAGGGTTTGAATGTGACATTGCTCTCAATTTGCCAATGATAGAGGTCCTCAACGCCTCAGTGTGTTGCCACGATACGAACACCCATCACTAGCAATTTGTCGCCATCCTTGGTCCGTTAGTGGAGAAAGATAAGGGGGGGGAAGTTACACGAGGTCAAGGTCCACACAATACTAGGGTGACGAATGTTCCGGAATTAAAAAGTGTGGGCCATTTCGTTACGAGGATGTCAGCTCAGGTGTTGGGACTTGAATGGAGGGAGGAGAGAAAGATGGAGTTTCGGAAACATGGATGATAAACTAACCTTTTCACTTGTGACATTCTACACAGTGGAGGCAGTTAGAGCGGTGGGTAACCCGGCACCAGGGATGTTGACAATGGCAGTACAGGTGTAGCCTGCCTCCATCTGACGTTCTCAGAGGAGAACGTATGATTGTATGTAATACATTGTTGTTGACTGGACTGATGCGAGAGTGAGTGAGGATCACAATCTTCAAGTCAGGGCTACCACCAGACCAGGCCACTATTCAGCTGAAACAGGAAATGGTGTAGTTTCCTGCCTGCTGTAGGGTAACAGTGAAACTGATGGGAACCACAATTGGAGCAGGAAGAGCTGAAAAAAGACGGGAAGGGAATAGTAATGTAATTGATAAGAGAATACTAGGGC